CTCTGGGCTTGCTATCGGCTCAAACCAGTAAGCCTTGGGACCTACTGTCAGTCCCAAGCTAGTGAGCTTCGAGGCCTGTTATCAGCACCGAGCTAAAAATGACTATGGGGGCCTGCTATCAGCCCTAGGATAGTAATGCCTTAAGGCCTGCTATCAGCACCAAGAATTATCCTCTACTTGTGAAGGGAAAGCTTCTCCCAAAGGCTGCTATCACCTTGGCGGGGTGTTCCCTCCGCAAGTTAGTTGCGGTGGCTGTAGTTGTTGCGGCAGTCGTTTCCCGCGGTAAGTTCAAATGGCAATCTTAACAATATTAAGGATGGCGGCACCGACAAACTACCTCCGCAACTAGTTCACTGCAAGTGTTGCCTCTTCAACTTAGTTTCTTTGGTTTTCTCTTTGCCTTAGCAAGTTCAAATGGCGGCACCGATAATACTTGAGATTGCAGCACCGACAATACTAGGAATGACGGCACTAAGACAAAGTGCCTCAACAACTTAACCATTGTAAGTGTTGCCTTTGTCCCTCAACAACTTCAGATTGCCTCTACAACTTCACTTAGACATTTTTCCTTCGTGGAGTCTATTCGGATCTTTGGTGGGTCGGACCTGCTTCGACCCATTTGTTGGCCCACTTTCCTTGGGCTTTAGCCCATGCTCCTTTAGTCATTCTTGGCCACCTTAAATGGGCGACCTCAGCACTTAGGCCCATACTTAATTTGGACCTTAATTTCTCACCCTCTACCAATACCAAGGCTTATTGTGATAAAGTACCTCAATGAAAATCGTCAATTACATCCTTACCGTAACACCTCTCAAACACTTTTGATTTACTCAGTTGTTCGCAGAGTAAGGTTTGTTTAAATTTTTCACCATATAGATACTTATATCATTTTACCAGCAAAGAGATTAAAAACAAAACACAAGTATACAATTCAAAATCAACAATTAAAAAAAAATTATACGTACCATTTTTTTTTTTAACAACCCACCCTTAACAGTGCCTACAGTAAATAGAAACACTGTCAGTGATTTGACAATAATGGAACGTTCCTTTATCCTTAATCCAATTTCCTATGATCTCTCTAACCTTGTAGCTTAACAGTAGATCAAAAACGAACGTTTCAAAGCCACATTCACGGGTTTTACTCTGTCCCGTTTTAATCTATTCATTGATTTCTTTTGAAATTGGATTTGTTTGGTCACATGGAATTCTACCTTCCAAACAATAAGATATTCTCTTTACTCTAATCTTCTTGGACAAAGAACTTTTTCCATGAAGAGGCTTGGCTTTTAACTCTTGGATTTTCAAGGTCCTCACCTCACTAGCTTTCACTTAAATTAGTGTCCGAACGCCATAAGGAAACAAATGAAAAATACACATTCCAAAAACTAGCAATCGACCATTAATGTGAATCATGATTATTTTCTAACGAACTCTCTATTAAGTTCTTTAACGTCTGCTTGTCACAAAGACCCAAAATAAATACAAAAATACATTTTTTTTTAACAATTTTCTTTTAATAAAAACACAACTGAAAATAAAACAAAAGAAACATAAACCAAACCCTTTCCCCCAACTTAAATGACATTGTCCTCAATGGCACATACCACAAAGGACTGACAATAACGGTGAAATGGAAGGAAAACACAACAAATAAAATATATAACTTCGAGAAGCAGGAGAAGAATACCTCTCAACTTGAAGGAAATGGTAGAAACCTACGTGTCCTAGGAAGGAACATACTTGACAAACAGAAGTAGGTAGGGGAAGGCCAGAAATTAGATTGACTTTTGCTTTGTCAACCTCTATTCCTTGCTTCGACACAAAGTGACCTAACATGATACCCTCTTGAACCATAAAATGGCTCTTCTCCCAACTCAGGACAAGGTTGGTTTCTATGCAATGTTTAAGAACCTTTGTTAAATTTTGGAGACACTCCTCAAAAGATGGGCCAAAAATCAATAGGATTTCTATATCAAAACCAAAAAGCCACGAATTATCTTCGCTTAGTACGAACCGTCACCCCTAAACTAAACTAAACTACAGTTGATGTATGATCCTTCTTACTAAGCATGACTCGTCTAACAATTTTAATACACAGCAATGAAAACCATTATATAACATGATTTGAATGAAACATTTATCGTACAAAAAGATCTAGCAGTTAAACAACTGTATCCAAATCAAATCAAATCTAAAAATACTAAATTTAACTTACCCTAATTATTTGGTCAATGTTTCATCTCTATCCTAAGACAAGAAAATTATTTCCTAACACTCATTCTAATATTTACAAAAATACACATTCCTACTCTTAGCCCCTACTTGGAGGTGGAGCTGGAGCTAGGGATGGCAACGGGCTAGGGAGGGGCAAGGTTAGGGATTACACTCCCCGTCCTTGATCCCCAATGGTGAAAATTCCCCTGTCCCCCTTCCCGATCCCCAACGGAGAACCTATCACCGTCCCAGTCCCTGCCCCCTAACGGGGATCGGGTTTCCCCGACCCCGAAAATTCAAAAAAAAAAAAAAAAAAAAAAAAAAAAAAGTAGCTAAGTGAAGATTTGTTTCATCTCATTATCATTAACAACAACATGTATATCTATGTCTATATCAATGACGTTGATATAGTGAAGATCTTGAGAACCAATGTATATATATAAGTACATATATTACCTCAGATCAGAAGAACAGTGAGAGAGGGCTAGAGGGCAACCAGTGAGAGAAGAACAGTGGCGGTAGATCTAGAGACGATGCAGCAAACGGAGGTGTGAGAAAGTGAGAGAAAGTGGTGGTGATGTCAGTGACGGTGGTGCGACCAGCGGCTGACGGTGGTGCGACCAGCGGCTGACGATGGTGCTCAAAAATGTTCATCACGGCTCAGATCTAGAAGGAGCTCTCCGTCGCCGATCTCTCTCTAGACTTCTCCATCGCAGCTTAGATCTGGAAAGTGCTCAGAAATGTTCATCTCTCTCACATAGAGTAGAGGGAGAAGAATGAGAGAGAGAGAGAGAGAGAGAGAGAGAGAGAGTGTGTGTGTGTGTGTGTGTGTGTGTTGAGATAGATATTAGATATAATATAATAAACCCTAAACATATATATATATACGGGGACTGTTCAGCGACTGTTCGGGATGGGGCCGGGGGAACCTGTCACCGTCCCCGGCCCAAAAATCATCAGGGATTTAATTTTCAATACCATCCCCGGCCTTATGAGGGATATTTTTGGGAAAAACCAATTCTAATCGGGGTCGAGGGGTCAGGTCTCCGTCAGCAGTGGCGGAGGGAAGTGAGGACCAAGGGGGTCACATGCCGCCCCTGGATTTTGGGCTCTTTTTTTTTCCCAAATATAAAGAAAATTTTTAAATAAAAAAATTACAAAAATATTATTACAGTGAAATGTCAATGACATTTTAAAAATTATGAGAACAATAATAGTTATTTTGATTGAAAATGAAGAGACTATTATAAACCATATTATCTATGAAAATTTCATGAAAATTTTTTAATGTAACGATGATGTCATTATTATTGACATGCAAATATAAGTAATCTCACTATAAAAATATAAAATTTATTAGATTGTTGGTTACATTTGACATGTGAGGTTCACTCTCTGTATATTTATTCACTATTAGTTGGTGATATCACATATTAATGATGACATTGTATTACCATTATATTGAATTTTTAATCAAATTTTGTATAAAAAAAATAATTTATCATTATATAATTTATTTTAAGACTTATATCTATATTTTTTTATATTGTCCACGATACACTAGTTATAAATAATATCATTGTTTTATATTTCTCGAAATCAATCGTAAAAACTTGCGTGAAATATTTTTGTAAAAAAATTCGATATTATAATTAATAAGTGCCCCCTCTAATTTGATTTTCTGACTCCGCCACTGAAAATATGTAACAAAAGTTTGCTTAAGATCCAAAAGGTTCCCAGGTGACAAAGATTGCCTAGAGATTTTGGAATGAACTCGATTTTTGTATTACACAAACATAAGATTTCCATTCTTGTTCAGTTTTCTTTATACTTGACGGAAAATTATACTTGACAAGAATCGACCAATTTCAATGAAATCCCAAGGAGCTATTTTTAAAATATAGGAAGTAAAGTGTTATCAGACTAAATTGTAAATCGATTTTTGCTTTATTTCCAATTTTGAAAGATTTGAAGAAAAAAAATGTTTAAGTTGAAAATTTCCTTTCAGGTGCCAAATTGACCATATATGTTAAAGCAGCAATGATTGAGGGCCACAATTTTTGTGGCTCAAATGGCTCGAAATTATTAAAACGACGTCGTTTTGAGTACAAAACAACTTCAAAATTGCCAAAATGACGTCGTTTTGGCAATTTTGAGCCATTTGAGCCACAAAAATTGTGGCCCTCAAACATTTTCCATGTTAAAGTACTAAGAAGCAAGCAGTAATAATTGCCTCTTTTTTTTCTTTTTTTTTTTTGTGTGTGGTAAACTTGAAAAACATAAAAATTATGATTATGCCTATTAAAAGCCATTGTTCCGAAAAATGTTTTCTGAAATTTTATAGTAATTGGAAATCATAGATCTCACAACTCAAATTGTTTTCCAATGTTTTGTTTTGTTTTTGGGCAATGCCTGAATAATTTATATGTCACTCAATCTTATATATCATTCTGGACACGGTAATTGGCCTAGTAATTCATGAAACTATCATCCCTCATCATTTTATTCTGCCCACTCTTTCTATATATCAAATAAAATTTTTAAAAAGACAAAAAAATTCTAAAAATATAAATTGTTTTTCTAGTCCTTGCGAATGATATGTTAACAAAAACTTAAAAATAAAATTTAATTACTAATTTTGTGTCCTAAAAAAAGTGCATTTAAATATATAATTACAATAAAAAAAATTATAAAGAGACTTTTGTTTTCTTAAATCTCAAATAAACTTGAACCTCCTGTGTTCACAAAACTTGACTACATAACGAGTTTAGAAACAAACTTTACTGATAATCATATGTACTTTGCAAACCTTATCACAACAGCTAACATAGGAAAATAAACAATAGTTTTGCCTCTGTTTACAAAGCTTAGGTGACAACATAAACAAGTTTAGTAATAAACATAGAAAAACCCATCATATGTACCTTAAAAATCTTATCACAACAGCTAACATAGGAAAATAAACAATAACTATGCTATCCCTACAAACCGAAAATAAACTTTTCTCCATGACACTTTGATCCATAAAGTGAAGCAAACACCACAAAGTCCCACAAGGAATCCAGAGCCCATGCTAACATAGAACCAGAGCATTTCGTTATCATTCTTAGCACCATTGTCTTCTGAGCCGCCTCTACCAGAAGTAGATGAATTAGATGTATGATCTTCATCACCCGAGCACTTGGTGGGAAGAAGAAATCCACACAATAAAGGGTTGTTTGCATAAATAGATGAATCATCGAGTGTTTGGAGCTGGTTTCCTGATGGGATTCTTCCTGACAAGTTATTATGAGATAGATTCAAGTGACTCAAAAAGGTTAAAGATGAGATGCTTTGTGGAATGGGTCCTGAAAGATTGTTGTTTGAAAGATCGAGTGTTTCCAACGATCTAATGTTTCCAATCTTCTTAGGGATGCTTCCTGTTAGCTGATTCCACGAAAGATTTAAGGTTCCTAATGCAATGAGACTTGTGATATCTTCAGGGATTTCACCCATTAAATTGTTTCGAGAAAGATCAATGATATTGACATATTGAAGAGTTCTTCCATATTCAAGTTCTCTACCTTTTGCCACCACAGTTGTTCGCTCCACGTAAATGTATTGGTGAAAGCGGTTGAAGCCTGAGTATGAAATACTTTCATTATCATAAACCAATGCACTTAAATTGTGTAAACAGTTGGGAATAACCCCTGAAATGTTGTTGTTTGCAAGATCTAAGATGTGAAGATGTGGAAGATTGCACCATTGTTTTGGGATGACTCCGCTAAAAGAGTTTGATTTCAACCGTAGCATCCAAATCGTAGTTATAGTCTCCCCTATCCATGAGGGTAACTTTCCAAATAGTCTATTTCCTCCGAGATCAATACTCGAAAGTGAACAATTCTGCAAGGAATAAGGAATTTCACCCTCTAGGTTGTTATTGCTCAACATCAATATATTGAGAGAATTGATGACCCCCATTAAACTTGGAATAATACCGGAGAGATTGTTGTTTGCCACGTCTACAACCCACAAGGGTTGTGACCCATTCCAACACTGTGGGAGCTCCCCGGATAATTGGTTTGTCCTGAGGGAAAGTACTTCCAAGTTATTCATGGTACAAATGGATGAGGGGATTGTTCCATACAAAAGGTTCTCTGAGAGATACAAATATCGCAGTTGCGGCATTAGTTTGTCAATATTTGATGGTATAGATCCTGAAAACAAGTTGCTCTGCAGATAAAAGTGGGGTGTATTAGTTGACCAAAGTGGCAGTGGACCCTCAAAGTGATTATAGCTCAAGTCAATAGCATTTACTATTGGAGATTCTAACTTCTTTGGAAGCTTCCCTTTGATTTGGTTGTGAGATAGATCCAAATAGGTGAGCCGAGCAGAAATCTTGGAAAGCCATTCTTCAGGTAAGTTGTCCTCAATTCCAACATTTGTAAGGATTACCTTGGTGAGTTCACTCTGAACTTGAAGCCATAGAGAAAATCTGGGGCCAACCAAGCAGTTTTCTAGATGAAGTGATTTGAGCCTAAAAGGGGGAACCCATTCATATCTAACATTGAAAACCAAGGACGATTTTGTCTTTGGCATGATTATTATATCTTCTAATCTTGTGAGATTCATCAAATGAACTTCTGTTATGACGCCTTCCCATGGATTTACTTCGAGATACAACTGAACAAGCTTTGAGAGTTTTCCAAAACTTTCAGGAATTGTTCCATTCATATTATTGAATCCAAGGTCCAAATATTGCAATGACGACATATTTCCAATTGAAGTTGGAATGGAACCCCAGAAAGAATTCGAACTGAGGTCAAGTTGTTGCAAATTCTTGAGTATTCCTAATGAATTAGGCAATTCCCCACCAAGCGAATTAGCACTTAAATCAAGTGACACCAAGCTATTGTTGGGACAGTCCAAGAATCCACTAAAAATTTCATCTACGGAACCGCTGAAATTGTTTCCCGAAAGGTCTAAGAACTTTAAATTGCAAAGATTCCCCAAATATCTCGGTATTTGACTTTCAAAATTCCCACTACCAGACATATAAAGGTATTCCAGAGAAATTAAATTAATAATTTCACTAGGAATGGTACCTTGGAAAGAGTTCGAGCTAAGATCAAGTGTTCTTAGTCTTGTAAGATTAAATATCCAGTGAGGAATTGAAGAGTTAAATGAATTGCCTGAGATATCAAGGACTGAAAGCAAAGTGAAGTTGATGAATGGAAGTGAGATTGGAAGGCTCTGAAGATCACAACCTGGCAAATGTAACTCCACTAGAGAAGGAAGCACATTAACTTCCTGCAACCAATCTTTTTCAATGTCGATTTTTACTCCTCCCATGTTAAGGTAACGCAAAGAAGAAAGACCGGAAACCCATCGCAAGTTTATCGTACTTAATCCATAAATTTTAGAATTAAGATCAAGATGATTTAGGTCTGATAGATTTCCAAGCTGAGGTGGAATTTCTCCACCAAATGATGCCGATGAGAGATTAAGGTATCTCAAATTCTTAAGCATACCAATGAATTCAGGAATTGGAGTTCCTTTAAAATCATTTGAACTTAGATCCAAATACTGCAAATATTTCAAGTCAAGCAAGGAAGAGTTTATATCACCACCCAAACATGACCTTCCATATGCTGTGTAGTAGTCACCTTGATCCATCGCAGCAATTGCAGAACTGCTGGATGGAAATGGGTTTCTCAGATCAAGCTTGATGACATGTCCAGATGTCTTGTTGCATTGAACACCACTCCATTGGCAGCAACCATTGCCTGTCCAAGAAGAAAGCCTATTTGAAGGATCTTGGAGGCCTTGTTTGAAGGCAAAAAGTGCTTCCCTCTCTGTCTCTATGCATTTGATCATACTCGTCACATTGTCAGCGGTGGCCATGTTGAAATTGATGAGCAAAGACACCATGGAAAGGAAAGTGATGAGAATCGCACATTTGGAATTGATTGAGGAGAAATTGATATGAATATTGCACATGATATGATTGTTGTGGCTGTTCATCTGCAGAAATGATTAATTGTATGAGCATCAAGAAGATGTAGAAGTTGTAACACATCATGAAAATTGAAAATCAAAATTCTGTAATTTATGTGGTCATTTATTTATTTATTTTTAGAGGATTCTCTCCGTTCCATTGTGAGAGTGGTGTTGGGGGCTCATAAGGCTTACCGTGAATCTCACTCTAACAGTTTAAATAATTCGTTTTGCAAGACTTTGTGTAGATCATCTATAAAATAAAACACTTAAATTGATCTAATGTTAATAGTTACATGATTTCATTAGTTTCGGGATTTTTTTTTAATGATGGAAGGAAAATATAATTTTAAACATAAAAAATTACTGTTACGTATTATTTTGTTTTGCAGATTGTCATTGAATCTTATGAAGTTTCAATATGGAAGTAAGTCCTATTTTTTATAAATTGTTTCCAAAAGGTTTAATTCCCCATATAGTATAGATTTCATTCTAATTTTACCCTTATCATTTAATATGAATGATAATTTCATAAATATTTTCAATTTTATAATAAAATCATTTTTAATTAATGGAAATTAAAAAGCATAAGTATAAGGTTTACCCATTATCTCACGCATTGAAAAATATATGAAATCAAGACCATATTATTTTTCATAGCTCCATTGATAGAATTTTAATAAAATTTTGTCTTTTGAATTGCTTATCATAAAATAAAAATAAAAATAAAGATTCATATTTTCAAACAACAGAAAATGATGAATTTTATATCATGGTTCTTTCAATTTAATTGTTTTATAATTTGTACAATTATGAAATGTAATTTTTAGTAAATTAAAATTATTTATAAAATTATTATTCATATTAAATAAGAATGATAAAATTAGGATAGAATTCACCATTATAAAGATTTTTTTTTTTTTTGGGAAATATTTTATAAAAGTAGGACTTAGTACACCCTTTTTGACAAATATGATAAAATTATGTAGTAATAAATATCAAATTAATTCAATTTTTTATATAGATTGTCAACGTACAATCATACAAAATGAATGATTCATATCGTCGAAATTAAATCCATGATGAGCTCCACAGGCCTAGTATCACTTCCTAGTAATTACAAAAAAAAAAAAAAAAAAACACCGTATGGTTTGAGCCTTCTAATAAAATAAACCGTGATTTTTTAATTTTATCAATTTAAACCATAAACTTTTGATATGTTTCCAATCTAAATATTTGTCTATTTCGGTTAAGTAAAATCGATAAAAAATTAAATATTTTAGTCATTAAACTCAATAAAAAAACATATTTTAGACATTTTATGTATATTGACATTGAGTTTAATAACTAAAATACCATTTTTCTTTCAATTTTACTTAACAAAAATAAGCAAATGGTTAAATTGAAAACAAATTAAAAGATTAGTGTTTAAATTAATAAAATTTAAAATTTAAGATTTATTTTATTGGATAATTCAAACTTTGAGATTTTTTTTTAATTGTCCCTTAAAGTTTTTTTTTCTTTTTTTTTTTTAATTTCTTTGTCGAATTGAAGGAATTTTAATGTAAGAAATAATAACAATAATAATATAATAATGGTTATGAAAATGTGGATGGTTCCTAATGGGAGAAAATTTAACTTCAAGGAAAAGTGGGAAAGTATCCATAAAAAAATGATTAAAGATGAATATTTTAAAAAATATAATTAATTTCACACTTTTAATGTAATTATATTAATTTTTTTTTGTAAGATTAGAGTGATTGAAATTATAATGTCAATAGTGGATAGACAGTAAAATAAATAAAGACAAATATACATTTTAATAAGAAATAGATGATAATAGGAAGTTTTCATTCATACAACTAATAAATTACTGATGAAAAATAACTTAAATATTATGTGAATTAAAATTTTAATTAAAATCATTGTAATTATTTCAAAATATGAAATTAATTGTATTTTCTTCAAAGAGGTGAATGTAATTTATCCTATTATAAAAAGTACTCAATTTGAAATTAATTTTCAATGCAGGTACATTATTCTTTGAAATCTTTAGGAAAATTTTCCGCATACATTTAGAATTGTTAAAGGAAAAGAAACTGACAATAAATTCAGCAAAAACTACTTGAAAACTTAATGAAATTTTTATGAATTTATTTTAAGAGATTTATAGCAAATTAAAAAAAAACAAAAACAAAAGCAAAAACAAAAAGCAAAATGTCTTCTAAAATATTTTAGAATGTTACGGGAGAATGATTGAGAAATATGGAGTTTTTAGTTTAAGATTCATAATATTAAGATTTTATAAGATAAAGGACATATAACTTTTTTATAGTAGTTGAGATCTCTCAACATTTTCATAAAGAAATTTCGATAAAGAGAAATTTTAGTACAGAGAAATTTTAACACAAAAAAATTTATATTCACAACCTCAAAACACTTTGCCCCCTATCATTTAAAAATAGCCAATTACCTCCCTTGTGATTTTGGCTATTTTATAATTTACCTCCCTACCGTCAATATTTCTATTTAAATCAAGAAAATTTGTTTAACGCACTTTGGAATTGAGAGTTGATTTGGGGGGGGAAAAAAAAATCAATTAAAATCAAATGATAATATCAAATGACAAATATACCCGTTAACTCCATCGTCTAAACAATCTCTTCTTCTCAAAAACCAAATCCTAACCCTAGCCATCTCCGCTATTGGGTAACCTTTCTGATTCGCAACATACAGCTTTGATACACAGAGCATAGTCCCTTGATTCACACCAACAACACAAGTTCGCAAAACGCCATGCCATTGGGCCAAAAAGCAAATGCACAATTTTCTAATTCAAATTCTTTCTCCGTTAATACCATTGACCATGTTATTATGTCTAAATATATATTTGTATCTTTTTGTACAGTAATATATTTTTTATTTTTTAGTGAGATTAAATTATGTACACTTTTTATTCATTAAAATTGGTAATGGTGGTTGAATTGAATAAATTGATGGTGGTGATTTTTTTATTTTTAAGAGAGCTAATGATATTGTTGCAATGAGGAGGATATAAACGTCTTTTTGTCTTTGCCGTTAACAGTGTAAATCATGCATCTTAGGCCTCGTTTGGGAACAGGCTACTTTAGTAACTTTTTGGCTATTTGGCCAAAATATGAGTTAAAAAAAATTAGTATGTTTGGGATGATTTTTTGACTTTTTACAAAAAAAATGTGCAAAAAGTAGAGAGAAAAGAGAATCTTTGACTTTTTGGTATGAGTTGTTGGCTTTTTAACTTTTTTAATAACCTTTTAACTAAATGAACTGGTTCCCAAACGAGGCCTTAGCTCAAAATCACAAGAGAGTTATTTGCATATTTTTAAAAGATAGAACGGCTCCATTTAAAAAAGATAGAGAGCTCCAGACGATATCATAAGAGAGTAAAAGTGGGTTTTATCCTATTTTAAATTAGGGACATCATTGACTTTATTTAAGTTATTTTATTTGTAGTTCCTTATAAAAGTTCATTTTTATTTTTAGTTTTATTTTATTTTTATTTTTATTTTTAGTGAAAAATGAATTATGAAGGATTAAAGCAGAATTTAAGTAAAAATTGAAGGCAAAAAGTGTAATTTTATTTCATAATCACCATGAATCCTCTCAATACACACCATTTAACCATTAAATTTATATGACAATAATATCTTCAAATAAAATGACTATTAAGGACAATATGTGGCGCATATGTACTCATTCAAGTAATTCACATATGAAAACACAAATTTCTCTTTACACATCATCACCTATACACTATATCGTTTGGAACAAATCTCTCATTCAATACTGTTCATCTTTACCATAATAATCTAATACACTGCACTCATCATCTTCACCATTATAATCTAATACACTACACTCATAAATTTCGCCATTATAATCTTCACCATTATTTTCCAAACTAAAAACATTAATGCCTGTGAAGATTTAGGATTTTAAGAATGTTGAAATCAATTGATTTTGAAGATTTGTACACCACGAATGACACTCATATTGTTGATTTGGAACAATACAATAATGAAAATGTCAGTTTACTTTTTTGTTTATGTCGTTCGTATAGAAAATGGCTTGTTCGTTTGTCACATATTCGAACAACCATAGTTGAACATTTATAAAATGTCCAATTATTTATATTTGAACAAAATTATTTTATTCAAATTATCAAAATTGATCAAATATTAAATATTCATATATAAAAAATTGGACGTTTTGGTTGTGGAGTGCACAAGTTTATTAGCTTAGTGTTAAAAAGGGAAAGTTATGGTGTGAACTGATATATTTTTATAATCTAAAAATTATTATGTATGTGTACTAAATAATGGTGTATACTGAGAGGATCGATGATGTGTAAATAGAATTATCCTTCATAATTTTGTTCCCTTAATGTTCTTAAAAAATTCTTATGTTAAATTCAATGTATAAAGAGAGAAATACAGAGAATAATGTATCTATTATTGATTGTTGTATGTTATTGTATATATTACAAGGAGATGTGCACTCTCTTTTATAGAGAGGAAAAGATACATAGGGTGCCAATTAGCACCGAAAGCATAAAGCAAAGGGGGAATACTCATTATGAAAGCTAGACATAATGATACACTAACAATTATGACTAACACTACTAGATGTACAATAATATACTAAAGATACTAACACTAATATACTAACATCACTAAATTACAATAATATACTAACAGGCTTCATCAAAAGTGAGAGAACGATGACCTTACATATGCCCCACCCTACCAGAGTTTCGGCAAACTCAACAGATTCTTTCATAGCTACATGTGACCCATTGATGATGGCCATCTCTAAACTTTAAAAAGAAACCACTAATTAAATTTTGGTCAATTGGAATCCACAGCCTAATTCGTAAGAAACGGATATTACAAGGCATAAGGGTATCATGATCAACCTTAAGTGCTTCAGCAATCGTTCTTACCAATCGAAAGCCAGCTTCTTTCGTAAAACATTCTAATGGAAATCCAAAAAGTTTGACCCAAACAACCATGCCGGACCGTTGTAGAAGCTTGTGGTGGTGCACCAAGGGGGCGACTTAGGAAGTGCGCCATGTGGTGGCTTGGGTGGTTCCCATGGTGTGTAACCATGCTCTCCATGATACATGATATATGTATAACCCCCCCTCAAACTCAAAGAGGTGTGAAGATAGAAACCTATTTGAAGTTGAAACAAAGGGAGTGAGAAAGTTGACCGTTGTAGAAGACACTGTATGAGTGTATAGATAGGCTGTCCAAAAGATATACATGTATATATACATCGAGCCCTCAAAAGGTGTGCCCAATCTGTCAAAAGGCGTGCCATCAAAAGGCGTGCCCAATCCATAAAAAGGTGTGCCATCAAAAGGCGCGCCAGACACGCGGCGATGTGATCGACAGAGCGTGTGTCGGCCTCTTCGTCATGGTCTTTATAAACCGAAGCGGAGGCTGAGGCTTGGAAGCATAACAAACCAGTTGAAACCTCTTCGTTCTCTGAGAGCTTGTCGCTAAAGAGCTGCAAATCTTGAAACACTCTGTAAACACTCTGTAACCAACCCTTCTCTGAACACTCAGCAACCATAACATGCCTCGTCTTCCCGTTCAGCTACCCAGAATATGGCCTCTTCGTCCCGTGGTCTGCTCACTCTCTTTCCCGACCTCAACGAAGTCAACAAGAGAGATAACTGGTGCGGTGGCCAATGAACCTCAACCAAGCGCCTCTGGTTTTGCTCCTTGAACTTTCCGATGCGGTCGGTGGAGCAAAAATGGCGGTGCAAACTGATATTGAGGCCAATCAGTATACTTTGAAGTCATGTTGGAGACCATAACGCGGTCACAAACCTGTCGCACCGGCTGCAGAGTAGGACAAATGAGGTGCAGCAGTTAAACGCCCACTGGCTCTGCTCCACGCATGTATAAGGAATGCGCGAGCAGAGATAAGTGTGCTAAAGGCGGAAAATAAGGAGCTGAAGCGGAAGGCCACCGTGATGTTCGATTTGGAGGTCGCCATATGTGCAGTGGAGGAGAGGGAGTAGTGATCGTGCCCAGTGGAGTGGGAAACACGGAGCAACACCGCAAGGGCCACCCAGGACGGAGGCAGAAGAAAAGACCGGCGGCAGAGTAGAGAAGAAAAATCCGCCTGTGGATGAGGCTGTGTGTGTGGGTGGTTTGTTTGTTTGTTTGTTTTTTTTTTTTTTTTTTGTAAAATGGTGATCGGGGTGAGCCCCGACATGAATAAAATGAGGTTGGTGTGCAGTTCGTTTTCTGCTTCTGTCCTTCTGCTTTTTTTTTTTTTTTGCAAAGAAATAATAATGAAAAAAGGTTTCGTGGCCCACGGTTTTGGTGAAAACCTGCAATGGGTGTGGTATTTGTTTTTGTATATATATATATATATATATGTTTTTTTTTAATATTAATAATAATAATAATAATAATAATAATAATAATAATATATGAATGGAAAGCATGTGCGCTGGTAGTGTGTGGTGATGGAAAAAGTAAAGCGGATGAAAAGCAAAAGGTGAAGATTAGTTTAAAAATAAAAAAAAAAGGAGTATGGGTGTGTGCAAAAAGTGGGGAAGATGGGTTGAAAAGGGGACATAGTGGTGGGTGGCCTTGAGTAGAGAGAGAGAGTGACAGTGTGTGTTGTGTCCCCCTGTGTGATCCTCCCTCTGCGTGTGTGGGCTGCTGTGTGCTCTAACTCGAAAGAGAGCTATAGAGAGAGAGAAGTTGATGAATTGTGGGTGGTGAGGTTGTCTGTGTGTTTTCCGGAAGAGAGAGTTGCCGAGAGGGAGAGATGATGGGTGTGTCTCGTGAGAGACCCAGCTAGAGAGAGATGAGAGTGAGCTGTGTGTGTATGTGTTGGGTGTGAAGGTGCTACCCGTGGGGTGTGATAAGGGTGTGAATGATGTCTGTGAGCTGGGTGTGGGCTACCCTTGGGTGTGATAAGTGTGTGAATGGGGTCTGTGAGCTGGGTGTGTGCCCGTGTGCATGGATCTGCCGTGTGAGAGAAGATGAAGTTGGTGGTGTGTGTATGTATTAAGCTCTGTGTGTATGCTCAGCTTCCCCTTGCAAAATGCAACCCGAGAGAGAGATAAGAGAGAGAGTGTGGGTGTGGGTGTGCGTGTGTGAGGTTGACCTGGGACATACGGTGTTCACCGTAGGGGTAATCAGTTGGACCTTGGACATACGGGTTGACCTGGGTGTGTGCCCGTGTGTGTGTAGCTGGAGGTGGAGTGGCCGGTGGTGGAGCTGAAACCGGCGGAGCGGACACCACAGGAGGTGTGGCCGGAGATTGACCTCCAACGCCGGCGACGACAATGCAGATAAAGCTACAACATAGACGGACCTGCGATCCATATCCACGGCCTCACTGGTGTGAAGGTGTTGATTATTCCCTCAGAGAGACAAGAGTTCAGTTCAGTTATGGAATTTATGACAGCGGAGTGAAGGTATGTGTAGAGGTCCGGCGGGCGGCCAAGGCGAGGCTACCGCCCGCCGATGAAGCAAAATGACTAGGTTGTTAACCTAGCTCTGATACCATGTTAAATTCAATGTATAAAGAGAGAAATACAGAGAATAATGTATCTATTATTGATTGTTGTATGTTATTGTATATATTACAAGGAGATGTGCACTCTCTTTTATAGAGAGAAAAAGATACATAGGGTGCCAATTAGCACCGAAAGCATAAAGCAAAGGGGGAATACTCATTATGAAAGCTAGACATAATGATACACTAACAATTATGACTAACACTACTAGATGTACATAATATACTAAAGATGCTAACACTAATATACTAATATACAATAATATACTAACATCTTAGATGCGTGCGAATTTCCTAACCACTTTTTTATGTTGAGTGAAGGGAGGAGTATATTGAAACTAGAGGTAAAGTTGGAAGATTTAATTATTGTAATTGAAAGATGAGAATTTAAATTAAGATTTGAATAAAAATTAGAGGGTAAAAAATGTAATTTATTATCCGAAAATAATAAATAAATAAAAACAACCATAGTAGACAGAAAGAGAGGGTATACTATATCACACACAAGAACAAATAAATAAATAATAATAAAAACAATGACATATATCACACACACAATTTTAAAGATATCCAGAATGAAGCAACTTACCATTTCCAAAGTTGGAAGATAGTAAAACTTGAAGAATTGATGCAACAACTAAGCCTTACAATTGACTCTGTGATTTGGTAGCCACATCAACATTAAAAGGAATTAACCACCTGTAAGCTATAGAAGCATAAAAATCAACAATACACTATAAACTCACAAAATTTATCTAGAAAATTACCTTAAAAAGTAAGTTAAGGGACTACATTCATTGTAGGTGTGGCTACTAACTTTTAGTACACTTACTTTTCGAGATAAATTTCAAGGTGCATTTTCATTATTCATAACATTTTCAGAGAAAATTTGCTACTCAAAGACGTATTGTGTCAGCTATTGCTAGCTACTCCAAATATACAAGAAAGTATGTAAATGATCTTAAACATGACTGTAAATCAAAATAAAGAGTACCTTAATATTACCATTTTAGTAGTGGGACAATCTGTCTTGAGATCGTGGATTCAAACCTGAAAGAATGCGTTTTGTGTAAATTATGTCAAATGTTAGGTATATACTAGAGCCCCATTTAGGAGTGTTCAAAAAAACTAGTCAAACTGTAAATTGATCCAAGCATATTCAAATTATATGATTTGGTCCGGTGTTTTGAGGGGATGATTCGGTTCAAGAATTAAAACTTAAAAAAAATTGAAAAAATCAAACCAAACTAAACTATAACATGTTTTTGTTAATTTTAATTATAGTGTTCTACAAGCTACTTAATCTTCCTTTCATTGACTTTTTCAAACCTCAATTTCATTCTGATGTCGATAAAACTTTCATAGATCCTATTTATAAAATACTCTCTCTACACAAAAATATACATATATATTTTTGCACTGTTTATATCATTTGTACACTTCTTATATTATTGAAAATTTACATTTTTATAGTAATTACCATAGAATATTTGTTTTGTCTTTACTCATTTTATAAAAAAATAGTTTGGACAGTACTTTAAAATTTCGAAGTATGTCAATAAATTTTTTGAAATGCATGTATGGGTAGAATTAATTTTTATTAAACTAAATAATTTAGAAATAGTGATGAATTTTCTAGTCTAGAACCGTGAAACTAAATTGGAATTGAACCATTTTTCTTACAATTTGTTTCTAATTCAATTCTAAAGATTTTATATTTTGTTTGGTTATTTCTAAATTTTTAAAACTGCAAAAATTGATTTGGGTCTTAATGTACCACACAACCAAACCAAATCGGTCCATAACCAGTCCTACTCCATTCGATAGAGACTAAATCAAGTGTACTATTAATTATTTTCTAGATTCATCCAATATTTATAATTTTTTTTTTCAATTGGATTTAAATTTACAGTTTTTAAACATATAAATAATTATATTTTTTCTATTTTATCATTGTTGACAATAACACGCCTATTTTATTCAATTCTAATCAACAAGAATTAAAAGATGGAATGTGAAATTCATACCGTTAAAGAGGAGTCTTCCTCTGTTGTTCTTCTTCTTCTCAGTCTCGATATCTATATCTATCCCTATCTCTATCTCTATCTCCTTCAATTTGGTGGATCATGAAATGTGAAAGCCAATAGGTACGTCTTTCTTGTATTTTATCGCGTATATAAATAATGTTTAGCATGAGTTGGTTGGTAGATGAAGTCTTGGTCTTCCAACCACGAAGACTTTGACAAGTAAATTTAAATTTAAATAAAGCTTTGTTTGGGAAGCAAAAGTTGGAGGTTTTTTTAGCTATTTTAGTCAAAAAAAAAAAAAAAAATTAGCCTAATAAGACAAAACATCACATCCAACCCATAATCATTACATTCTTTCTCTAAAAAAAAAGTCAAAAAAACCTAAAGCCCTTCCTAAACTAGGCTTTTTAGCCACTGGCTAAAATAGTCAAAAATGTCAAAAAGCCAACCCACTTCCCAAACGAACCCTAATAGTATTATGAATTTAGAAATTTATTTAGAATTTAAATTGATCTTTCTATTATATATTCACTTTCTGAATAAATTTCAGGACAAACTTTCTGAATTTATATCTTTTTTTTTGTTTAAATATTTCATTAGGAGAGACAAATGAAATAAATAAATAAAAAATGAGTTTCACATATCAGCAATGATAGGCACATAGAAAATATAACTAGAAAAATATTCAAAAAAGACCCTTTCTCGCAGAGATAGATAAGATTACAGTTGAAGTTATAAATTTGAGAAACTGAGAGAGAGTACATACATAAACAAAAATAATTACTCAAAAAGCAACTCAATTATTAGTGAATATTTATTTATTTCTTTATCTTTTTGGGAAGATGGTTAAAAAATAACTTTTTGAATTTTTTTTTGGATTTTTTAAAAAAAATGTATAAAAAATGTGAGAAGTAATACGATTAAAAATGGATTAAAAGCTGATTTTTACCTTTTAACTGTGTTGCCAAATTGGACCAAAGTCATACATTTAACCTTCTCAATATCACTTCTACTCTTTCAACAGGGAAACATTTGTATAGTTAACAAACAAGGGTGAACCTCATTCCTTCAATTTCAAAAAAAAAAAAAAATCAATTTACTACATTAGTATTAGTCATTAATCATTTCTAAATTATATGAGTTACACATTACAATTTTTTTTTAAAATTTAAATATTATCTTTTTTTGACCCCTTCGCTCTTTAGGTCTGTACACAATACACTATAATTCATACATTAATTTAATATAATATTATTTGTTAAAAGAAAAAGATTGAAGTTTCAGAGTAACTTCCATTAATATATTAAAATAAATTGAGAGGAGACTTTAGCCATCCTACTAGTGTGGTATGGGGTTGTCTTTTAGATATGGAATGGCCAACTATGGCCCATTGGGAAAACACGTTTTCATATCAATTGAAACACGCTTCTCCATCACTTTCTCACCCACCTCGACATTTCTCTACTCTTCCCTCACCCCTATTACTCTCCCGCCCACCTCTGCCACCCTCAGATCATTCCTACCCAACCCAACATCATAATCAGCCCAAATCCTAGTCACCAGAACCACACAATCCCATCCACAACCGTTTCTTGTCGCCACCCTGAACCACCTCTCCTCGTTGTTCCAAAGTGCACAATTTGCCTTTTACTTTGCATGGTTTGGATTCGACCTTGTTGGTTTTAAAAACAATGAAAGGAGGAGTGTGGGGGTGACAATTGAGAGGAGTTTAGGGGTTTGGGTGGTTTTCGTGGCTAGGGGTCGCGAGGGTGGGTGGTGGATTAAAAAATCAAAGTTGATGGTGTCCAAGCGTGAATCCACTATCCTAATGATTACCATAATTAGGTTTCATTAACTTGCCCTTAGCCTTTTTTTTAATTACTAATAGATCATTTAGGGTAAACTACTAATAGATTTTAGTAGTTGAACTTAATTACAATCAAGCCTTATTGAAAATAAATCTTAGTAAAATTGTCACTAAAAATAATTTTTTGTGATAGTTTTTTTCATGTGTCGCTGAAAATTAACAATTAGTGACTTTTTTGTCACAATTTTTGTAAATTGTCACTAGGGATACTCGCGGATCGGTTTTTGACGGTTCTGTTTGCGGTTTGGACCCATCTGCATGTTTGCGGTTCGGGAAAAATTAAACCCGCAATTTGTGCGAATAGAGTTCACGGATATGCGGACGATTTGCGGATTAGACTTTTTCTTTTAAAAATTCATTTACTATCTAGTACCCGACAATACAATTAAAGTAAAATCATTTAAAATCCTAAACTTATCTAAAAGTAATTCTTCATTAACTTTTACATTCATCTAAAAATCGAAATGCAATAATAATAACTAGTTAGAAACCAAAATAAATTGTTGTCAAATTTCATCCAAACCCATTAAATAAAATAAAATAAAAACATTTGTAAATTCGCAAACTCCTTAGAAAATAAAAATTATATAATTTATTTAATCTTCAATCTTCATAGAAAATCTCAGTACTTCTTCTAAGAATTTTCTTCATGAGAAAAAGAAAAGAAAAAATAAAAATAAAGGTTTTATAGCCCTGTTTTGTGGTTTAGAAAACAAAAAAAATAATTTGTGAAACAAACATTGACGTTTTATCCAAAGACAACAGAGAACTCAAATGCTGAGAAGGATTCTTAGATAGAAAAATAAAAAACCTGCCACATTTCCCTTCTACAAAACTTGCAAGAAAATCTGATGGTCTAAATTTTTTTTTAAAAAAATGTATAAAGATGCAGGCAGGTAAGTGCAGGTGTGGGTGCGGGTAAAACCTGCGACCTGCCCACAACCCACAAAATAAGAAAATCTTAACCCGCATCCAACCCTAATGATTCTGTGAAACCGCCCAAATAGGTGCAGACGATTCAGGTTGGGCAATTTTCGCGAATTGGATAACCCTATGCCCAACCCTAATTGTCGCTAAAACTTACACTTAGTGAAGTTTTTTTGTGACGAATTTTTCAAACAGTCGCTGAAAGTTGAAAGTTAGTGAATTTTTTGTGACAATTTTTTTAAATTGTCAATAAAATTTATACAGTGACATTTTTTGTTACAATTTTCAATACGTCACTGAAAATTAACAATTAGTAACTTTTTTGATAGTGTTTGATGAAAAATAACATTAATTCTCACCGGACGAATTGATTAATAAGCCCACCTATTATGATCTACACGCAAATTCCCCTAGAAATTTCCACCTCTTATGTCTCTGTCCATCGCATTTATATCTAATATTTCAACATGCTTAACACACATCAATTCATATAAAAATTAATGAGATTTCGCTATAGCAACAAATTTGGGGAATCTTTTTTTTTTTTTAATTCAAACTGGGAGATTTCTCAATTATGAGAAATTGAGAAATCTATCAAACAACTACTTGGGAATGAAACTATTGAGAATTTTAGAACTTGCAAACCATGAAAGTTAATGGGTACAATTGCTAGAAAAAAGAAATTGCTGATTAAGGGGGGAATAAAATAGAGTTTATTTGCTATAGATAAAAATTTTCTGATAGAAACAGAGCTCCTGCTCTTGCTGGAATTATTTCATAAGATTATTAATTGTTTGCCTCCTTGGGACTTAATTTCCTTAATACATCAAGTTCACTATTTGTACAAGATGAAAACATTCTTAAAAACATCAATTATTTCAGGAATTATCTCAGGCCTTGAATCAAACCATGATTTCCATTTGCTTTTACAAATGAAAGCTTTTCTGAGTCGATTAATTTACTTATCTGTGCTAAAAATGTCAAAACAAACATAGGATGATTGGGCCCACGGATTAATAATCCCAATCCTATGCTTTAATCCTTCCAATCAAACATGCCATAGTTGTACAAGATGAAAACATTCTTAAAAACATCAATTATTTCAGGAATTATCTCAGGCCTTGAATCAAACCATGATTTCCATTTGCTTTTACAAATGAAAGCTTTTCTGAGTCGATTAATTTACTTATCTGTGCTAATACCTCGAACTCAAATCCTTTCACACAATCAAAAGTCGATTAATTTACTTATCTAGTTTGATTATTGCTTTGGGAAGATATGTAACAAAAATTTGCTTGAGATCCAAGGTTTCAAGGCGACAAAGATTGCCTAGAGATTTTGGAATGAACTCGATTGTTGTATAACTCAAAAATTATACTTGACAAAAATGGACCAATTTCAATGAAATCCCAAGGGGCTATTTTTAAAATATAGGAAGTAAATGTTGTAGCAGAGGGTTCAAGAAAAGAGTTGGAAAATTCGAAGATCTTCAAAGATCCTTGAAGAACAACTTCGAATTCTCTAGAATATGATGAGAGGCTTAGATTCTTCAATAATCTCAACTTAGGAACACAACAACAAAGGAGATGATGGAGATAAGAGATTGGGTGAAGAAGAAGGCAAAATAGCTAGAGAATAGAATAATGGCAAGGCTCTCCCATTGATCTCCCACTTTCACTCTCAAGGTCGATAATGGAGAAAGGGAAATTAGTTCTTTCCCAAGAGTTAAAAATCTCCAAAATCCATCCCTTGTAAAGCTATGGGTGGGTGCTATTTATAGGCACCTCATGATGTAGGATGGAGCCTATGTGCAAGGCACATGGGGGATATTTTCTCTAACCACCTTGTCCGAGGGGGTGACCTCTCCGAGGAGGTGACTTCTCCGAGGATGAGAAAACCCCGAAGAGGAGATCACTCCCTCGGCGAACCCTTCTTCTTAGCCACACCTAACCAATGATCTCCAATCATCCCAAAGGGTCAGGGGTAGTCCCAGAGGACGTCCTGCCGCAAAATATTGCCGAGTCTCATGGACCCCCCGGGGTCGTGCCACCTCGACCCGGGTATAGGCTAGTGTAACCGAAGAGTGAATTTATCTGCACTCACCGTCCTCGGGATCGGGTCCTTTGTTTGAACTCCATTACGTCCATGGTTCTGGTGCGTAGATCCCGGAAAGCTCCGAGCCCGCAAGTGTTCTGGGACTCATTAACGGAGCGACTTCTAGATTGCGTCTGAATCCGTTCGAAGCCAAGTATTTCGGATCTCTAGGTTTGTGGTTCCGA